CCCTTCAGCCTTTGAGACTCAACATTGGTGAAAATAACCTACATCGGCCAGACACCAAAGGAAGGGAAAAGTGGATTATAATAAAGAGCCTTTGGTGTTTATAACAAAAGAATAATGTAGCTTCATTTTCCTAATCGTTACTGCTTCAGATGGTTATTTAAGCTTTAAATGGTTACAGTAAATCATAGGTTGATTAGATATTTTCATCCAGTATCTCCTGGGGTGTGACTATTTGCCAAAGGCATAGTTGAGCCAATACAAAAGCCCAATATTTCTTAGATTAACAGGAAGAGTTATTTGAGTTTCATGACAATTATAAGACCAAGTGGTAACAATGTAATGCACTTCTATTCAGGAGACCTGTATTTTTTAGGGCAACGTTGGTTGAGACTGGGGCATTCACACTAACATGTCTGTTTAGATTCGCTAGCGAGTCCCAGCTGGTTATCCCCTTCTCTGCAAAGTCCCCTGCTTGTCCCGCCCCTCTCAAGCAGAGGGAATTCCAGGATTCTTTCTGTTCTTTCTGTTTCTGTATACTTTTCCCCGTTATCACCAGCAGACCTCAGGACCCACCTATTTTTCCCATTCACCTGTCTGCCTCTTTCACTAGGCTAAATAGCTTCTTTTTTTTTGTTTGTTTAAGATTTTATTTATTTATTTATTTGAGAGAGTGAGAGAGAGCACACGAGCAGAGGCAGACTCTGAGCAGGCTGAGCAGGGAGCCTGATGCGGGGCTTGATCCCAAGACCCTGAGATCATGACCCAAGCCGAAGGCAGACGCTTAACTGACTGAGCCACCCAGGTGCCCCTAAATAGATTCTTTTTAAAGTCTTTTTGTCTTGGGGTGTCTGGGTGGCTCCATTGGTTAAGTGTCCAACTCCTGATTTTGGCTCAGGTTATAGGGTTGTGAGGTTGAGCCCGGCTTCGAGCCCTGCACTGGGTGTGGAATCTGCTTAAGATTCTCTCTCTGACCCTCCCCTCCCCACCTGCTGCCAACCCCCCCATGAGTGAGCTCTCTCTGTCTCTAAAAAAATAAAATAAAAATTTTTTTTATTGTGGTAAAATATACATAACAAAATTTATCATTTTTAACCATTTTAAATGTACAGTTCAGTAGTGGTAAGTATATTCACATTGTTGTGCGACCATCACCACTAACCATCTCCAGAATTTTTTTCATCTTGTAGAACGGAAATTCTGTGCCCATTAAACAGTAATTCCCCACCCCCACTTCCTCTCAGCCCCTGGCAACCCTCATTCTCTGTCTCTATGAATTTGATTACTCTAGGAAACTCCTAGAAGTGGACTCATACAATATTTGTGTGTGTATGTGTGTGCATGTGCGTGTGGCTTATTTCATTTAGCATGAGGTCCTCAAGGTTCATCCATGTTTAGCATGTTTCTGAATTTTATTCAGTTAGCTTCTTGAGGTCAGGAATCATTCAATAAATGTTTAAATTTGTTTGAGTTGAAAAAATTAGGTGGATATGAATGTAAAGTAATGAGATCTGTAAACAACCTCAAAAGGGAGGACGTTAACACTGAGAGCCCCGTATCAACAGGAGGACGCATAGATGTATAGGCACGTGCCTCTATGGTCACAGTGCCTGGTACCCCACGCTGACCTGCTGCTTCACTTCCACCTTCCAGAGCTCATGCAGATGTCTCTTCTGAACAATCTCAACCTGGAAATACACAGGCAAAGCAATTTCTGGGAGGAGTGCTTCCAGCTGAGCGGGGCCAACAGTGTGAAAGCCCCTACAATGCCATTAGAGTTTATTCCAGACAGGAGTTGCCCTGTTGACCAGATACGGATAAGAACTAAACATTCTCTTTGTGCTTTTACATATCTGATGGCCACAGATGGTCTCTGGCTTCATATATTTCAAACTTTCTCCTCTATCACCCACATGCTTCTGGGCCAGGTGCCTCACGAGCATATTCTTATTGAGACATGACCTCTGGCCTTGCATGTCTGCATAAACACATTCTACTAAATCTAAGCCAAATATATCCCAGCTCAACTTCCGCTTAACTGGATCCTCAAAATGCTGCAGCCAAAGGGGTGCCTGGCTGGCTCAGTCAGTAGAGCATGTGACTCTTGACCTCAGGGTCATGAGGTCAAGCCCCATTTTGGGTGCAGAGATTACTTAAATAAATGAATAAAATTTTTTAAAACTGCCGCAGCTACTCCAACATCACCCAACACAAAAGAAGCTTGAGGGAGGGTAAGTTGGAATACACAGGGAAAGCACCTAGACCAATGGTAGTGAAAATATCTCACTTTTCTACATTTTACAAAGAAAAATGACCCGTGAACACACTGGGGTGGGTGGGGACCTATAAGGGGCCTATTCATGTCAGGGCCCTGAGGCTTAACCTCCTTTGGCTTTGGGTAAATCTGCCGTTGGCTCTTTCTATGCTAAGCGTTAGTTGAATTGATTTTTATTTTAATTTTTTGTTAAGAATATTTTCCAACATACACAGAGGTGAGAAACATGTAATCAACCCCACTCCCACCCTGTGTACCAGCCACCCAGCTTCAATAATTATCAGCGTTGGTTTATCATTCTAGTGCCCAGCATTGCCACTCCTGAGCTTATTCTGCTCCAGAGGTAATGTTTCTGGCTCCTATCCTTCTTTCTCAGATCTCTGCCAGGTTTTTACCCTACCAGATTGCCTAATTCAACAGGATAATGAGTCTCTGCTAAATTTCATATTTTTAAAACGTCCTTGGGGGCAAACATGTACTTTTATTTTAGTTTTGGAGGCTGTGAATAAAACCAGATTTGACTAGCCTCAAAGGAGGAACTCTGGATTCCTTTCTCTATTATATCTGGAAATATGGGAAGTTAATAAAGCTTTATTTTAAAATATACAAAAATTAGGAAACAATTCTTAAAACCTATGAGTTAGTAATCTCATGAAGAAGCTCAACAAAACCACAGATGTCCTGGTGAGAATGGGCATAGCTACAATTTCTTCAAGCAGAATCTGAAAGAAATTGAATCAGCAAATGAGTCACTGGAGGTCCTACTTTACTTAAAAAGGCATAAGGTCCAGGGCATTTTTAATAAAGATAACTACTCATATGGCAGTTCTTGGAGTTATAATGAGGCTTGTGGAACATTTTCATTTTATAGTTATTAAATACTGACTGGTTACAAGTCACTCACCCAGATGCTGGGGGCACAGAGCACTGACAAGATACACCAGGTCCCTGTTTTCAAAGAGCTCACAGTCTATTCCTATAGATGCTGTTTTTTAAACCAGAGCACTCTCCCCCTTTCTAGGAATGGGATTGCCCACACAACCCTAGTCCTGCCCCCTTAAGCCCACCCCTTTGATCAGTGGGCAGCAGTTCCCTCCTACCTTGAGAACCACTGAGGAAAAGGCAGCAATAAGAAAGTGAGTTCACAAATCCCCAAATACTGTGCTGAGGGCTGAGATGGAGACCATCAGGCTGCTGTGGCAGTAAAATAGATTGGGAGGACACTCTGGGTCATCAGCGCAACCCTCTTGGAGCAGGTGGCAGGTAGTCTAAATATCCTGGAGGATGAGGTGTAGTTGGGGTTCTGGGGATGGGAGCAGCATGGGGGGAGGCCCTGAAGTGGGAGATGGCTTAGTGAACTTAAAAGAAGTGGAAAGAGGGGCGCCTGGGTGGCTCAGATGGTTGAGCGTCTGCCTTTGGCTCAGGTCGTGATCCCAGGGTCCTGGGATCGAGCCCCACGTTGGGCTCCTGGCTCAGCGCGGAGCCTGCTTCTCCCTCTGCCACTCCCCCTGCTTGTGCTCTCCCTCTCTCTGTATCTTTGTGTCTCAAATGAATAAATAAAATCTTAAAAAAAAAAAGTGGAAGGAAGAATGTGGGGCTGAAATAAGGTGGAGAGATAGACAGGGGCCAGATCCTCTAAAGCCTTCAGGTTTGTGGTGAAGAACTTCGGTTTTATTCTAAATGCTTCCCATTGGAAGCCACCAAAGAGTTTCAAGAAGGGAATTGACATGATGATAATAATGAGAATTACCGCTACTGGGCACTTGCTCTGGGCCAGCAAGGTTTTAAGCTCTTTATATAAATTAACTCAAGATATCCTTAGACCTATGAGGTGAGTACTGTTAATACTCCCATCTTATAAAGGAGGAAACTGAGGCACGGAGAGCTTAAGTAACTTAACCAAAGTCACACAGCTAGTAAAGTCTGTTTTAATACCTTAGCAGTCCCCTGACTGTGAAGCGGCAGGAGTTGTATTTGCTGAAAAACTGACAGGAAGGAGTTAGAGTGAAGTGTTGTGTTTGCTGACCGAGTCTTCAGCAAGCATTTCTCTGGCCCAGAAAGTTGCCCACAGCTGTTCCGATCCTATTACAGGAATATACGTCCCATAATGGATTAACTGTTAAGGCGTGCAAACGGTGAGGCTCACAAATTTGTTAGGCAGTACTTTTTAAAATTTTTTTTTAAAGATTTTTATTTATTTATTTGAGAGAGAGAGAATGAGAGAGAGAAAGCACATGAGAGGGGGGAGGGTCAGAGGGAGAAGCAGGCCCCTCGCTGAGCAGGGAGCCCGATGCGGGACTGGATCCCGGGACTCCAGGATCATGACCTGAGCCGAAGGCAGTGGCTTAACCAACTGAGCCACCCAGGCTGTTAGGCAGTACTTTTAACAACAAAAGCAACTAATCCCTAGAAAAATTGGCCTGTTCTGGTTGGGAAAACGCAAAGTATCTCAACGTCGCCTTAAAAAACCCAGAGGCACGGAGAAAACTGGATTCAGTCACCAGAAAAACCGCTCAAGAAGTGGCCAACCACTCGGAGCCCTTACTCTGCCTGCCATGACAGCGGAGAAGTTTCTGGCAGCAGGGACACCCCGGGCTCGGGGTGGGAACAGGTGCGCCAGGCAGGGGGCGTGGCGTTCGGGGGACGAGGCGTGGCGCGGTGGGATTGCGGGGGGCGGGCCCACCTGGGGGCGGGGCCATAGGGGCGTGGCGAAATGAGGAAGGACAGGACTGAGGCGGGGCGCGCGCGTCAGGAAGATGGCGTTGCGTCTGCTGCGGAGAGCGCTCCGTGGGACGGCGGCGGCGGTGCTGCCGAGGCTGTGAGTGCAGGTCCCTAAGTCCCCCGCCACCCGGCCCGGCCTCCCCGGTCCCTGCCGGGAACCACCCCCACGCCGGCCGGGAGCACCGCGCGCCTCCCGTGCGCCGGCTCGACCTCTGCCAAGGTCGCCGACGCCCCGCGACGGTCGCCTCTCCTGCGCGTGCCTCCCTGTGGGAGGGTCCTTGCTTGGGCCCGGGAAATGGGTACAAACATTCGGATTAGCAGCCCCAGAGCACACAACGAGTCTCTCCCACAAGTGGAAGCCGCGAACGTACGGCTGTTTTATAAAAGGGTGCTGGAGTCAGCCTGTGAGCGGCGGCTCGCCTGCTGAGTGAGAACACCCTCCACCCGTTGGTTCTGCACAGCGGCTCCCGGACGGGTCTCAGGACCCCTTTACCCGCCGAAAAATTATTGAGGACCCCTTAGAGTTTTTCTTGTATCTTTTAATCTTTACGGTGTGAGGAATTAAAACAGGATTTTTAAAAAAGATTTTATTTATTTATTTATGTGAGAGAGAATGAGAAACAGCAGGAGAGGGGAGAGGGTCAGGGGGAGAAGCAGGCTTCCCGCCGAGCAGGGAGCCCCACGCGGGGCTCGATCCCGGGACTCCGGGATCATGACCTGAGCCGAAGGCAGTCTCCTAACCAACTGAGCCACCCGGGCGCCCTTAAAACAGAATTTAAAAAAAAATACTAATTTAGGGCGCCTGGGTGGCTCAATTGGTTGGGCGACTGCCTTCGGCTCAGGTCATGATCCTGGAGACCCGGGATCGAGTCCCGCATCGGGCTCCCTGCTCGGCGAGGAGCCTGCTTCTCCCTCTGACCCTCCCCCCTCTCATGTACTCTCTCTCATTCTCGCTCTCTCAAATAAATAAATAAATCTTTAAAAAAAAAAAATACTAATTTACAAATGACAAACCCGTAACATTTTAACACATGTAGTGAAAGAGGGGCGTGGTTTTAAATTTTTGAAAATCTCTTTGGTTTAATAAAGGACAGTTGGAGTCTCATCAGCTGTTTTGGAGGAAGTTTACAGAGCGATTCTGGGCTCCGGCAGACGCTAGCTGGAAAGGGGAAGACCTCTCAGACCATCTCGAAAGGTCTCAGGAACTCGCAGATGCCCTCGGACCACACTTTGAGAACCGCTGGTCTAGCAGTTGCCTGTTGGCCAACCACATGCACACACGTTATCTCATTTGATTCCCTGACCACCGTGTGAAGAAGTCGGAAGACTTCTTTATAAAGATGAGGAAACAGGCTTAGGGAGGCTAAGTGACACAAAGCAGAGAATGGCAGAGTTTGGTTCCGAAACCAAGTCTATGGCTACTGGTCCAGAACTCCTTACATTTGCTTGCACCGTGCTTCCTGCTTCACCAGTGTGTCCTGCACTGGGCCTACCCAGTCTTGTACATCCTACCTTCCCCTTTTCTAGACTTGAGCCTGGTACATGGCCCTGGGCTCAGGGGATCACCCCTGGAACCAGAGATGCTGCTGAGGCAGTATACGCAGACCCTTCCAGAAGGTCCCTTTTCTTGCAGGCCAGCGTCTGGGGCCTGTTTAATAATGGGTCCAGGGACCACATACAGTCACCTACTTCTAAGGCGCTTGGGACTTATCTCACAGTGCTCTTTGCCATCCTTATTAGCACACTGGTTATTTCTGCACACACTTAACAGGTCCTACTAAGGCCATGGCAGCGGAGATCAGAGCAGTAAAGGTGCCAAGTATCAACTTGCCAAATGGCAACTGCTTACAGATGCCTTAATTTCTACCCCAGTTGGGTTGCACTTAAGCTTCAGGCCAGTGGGCCTGCTTCTGGTGGCTTTATCCTTCTGTTTTTAGAGTATTAGCACCATTGCTGGTAGGCAGGGACCATTCCTGACTTGTCTACCGAGTCTCCAGTATTTCCCCTGTTGTAGTGCTCTCCCTGATGCTTCCCCTTCCATCCTGTCTCTGGCCCTTCCACTTTCTGTAGCCACTGCTCAATTTATGTAAATAGCTGGCTCTCAAGTTGGGGGAGCATAACTCCCCACTCCTAGGAGTGCTACTGGTAGGAGTGTCTTTTAAGCCCTCTCCACTGACAGAGCAAAGAAGAATATGTGTGAATAGTGACCCATGCATATATTATAAATACATATATTATTTAGGTAAGCTCTGGGCCCAACGTGGGGCTTGAACTCATGGCCCTGAGATCAAGAGTCACATGCTCTATAGACTGAGCCAGTCAGGTGCCCCTAAATATTTTTTTTTTTTAAGATTTTATTTATTTATTTGAGAGAGAGAGAATGAGAGACAGAGAGCATGAGAGGGAGGAGGGTCAGAGGGAGAAGCAGACTCCCTGCCGAGCAGGGAGCCCGATGCGGGACTCGATCCTGGGACTCCAGGATCATGACCTGAGCCGAAGGCAGTCGCTTAACCAACTGAGCCACCCAGGCGCCCCCCCTAAATATTTCTATATATAACCACTGTGTCTGTATTAGGCTAAACATGAGTTCACATTACCTCCAATTCTAGTCCATTACCACATGGATCATTCTAGCCTCCTCCCCTTTGCTTACTAATAAATTTTTACTACTACAGTTAGAAACCTGGCCTTCCCCCGCACCACCACCAAAAAAAGAAAAGAAACCTGACTCCCACCATGCACCATCCAATTTCAGCATACACATATAGCAGTATTTGAATTGTTAGACCATACTCCATGGGAAAAAACTATCGAAGTACAGTACTTATGTGCAGTTCCTTTTCCTTTAATAGGCTGTACTCATTTCCTTAGTTACTTAGGTCGGTGCTTTTTCCTCCCATCCCCTTCAGTGAGGTTGTTTCATACATCTGTGATACAAGTAGATTCCCTTGTCACAGTCTGCATTCTTTCCTGGGATTCCCCTACCTCCCAGGTGAATTTTTTAAATTGCATATATTAAGGTTCACTCTTTTTGCTATAAAATTCTATGGATTTTGACAAATGCATAATATCATGTATCTATCATAACAGTATTATACAGAATTATTTTATTTCCCTAAAAATCCCCTGTGCTTCATCTCTTCATCCATCCTGCGTTCTCCCAAACTCCTGGCAAGCACTGATCATGTTTCTGTCTCTAAAGTTTTGCCTTTTCCAGAATGCCGTATAATTGGAGTCATATATAGTCATATAGTCCTTTAGACAGTCTTCCTTCATTTAGCAATGTGCATTAAGGTTCCTCTGTGTTTTTTTCATGGCTTCTTAACTCATTTTCTTTTGTTGCTGAATATTCCATTTTAGAGATGTTTCATAGTTAATCTGTTTATCTGTTCACCTACTGAAGGACATTTTAGTTGCTTCTATTAAGGTTTAATAAAGCTGCTCTAAACATTCTTGTGCAGGTTTTCTGTGTGCATAAGTTTTCAGATTAATTGGGTAAATACCTAGGAGTATGATTGTGTGGTAAAAGTATAAATTGGGTTTTGTAAAAAAACTACCGAACTATGTTCCCAAGTGCTATGCCATTTTGCATTCCCATTCCCATCATCAATGAAAATTCCTGTTGCTGTCACATCCTTGCCAGCATTTAGTATTATCAGTAAAAAAAATTTGTTTAGTCATTCTAATAGGTGTGTAGTGGGATCTGTTGTTGTTTTAATGTTAATTTGTTTTAACTTGAAATTCCCTGGTGTCAACTGATGTTGAGTGTCTTTGGTGAGCTATTTAGATCTTCTGCCTATTTCTTGGATTGTTTTCTTTTTTTTAAAGATTTTATTTATTTATTTGACAGAGACACAGCGAGAGAGGGAACACAAGCAAGGGGGGTGGGAGAGGGAGAAGCAGGCTTCCCGCCGAGCCGGGAGCCCAATGCAGGGCTCAATCCCGGGACCCTGGGATCATGACACGAGCCGAAGGCAGACGCTTAACGACTGAGCCAGGCGCCCCTTGGATTGTTTTCTTATTGTTGAGTTTTAAGTATTTTTTGCATATTTTAGATATAAGTCTTTTATAAAATACATGTTTCGCAAATATTTTCTCCCAGTCTGTGACTAGTCTTCATTCTCTTAACAGTATCTTTTACAGAGCAGAAGTTTTTTATGTTAATGAAGTCACGCTTATTGATTTTTTTCTTTCATGGACCATGCTTTTACCATTTTTTGTTTGTTTTTTAAGATTTTACTTTGAGAGAGGATAGGGGGAGAGGGAGAGGATCCTCAAGCAGGCTCCCCGCTGAGCACAGAGCCTGAAGCCAGGCTGGATCTCAGGACCCTGAGATCAGTACCTGAGCTGAAACCAAGAGTCGGACGCTTAACCGGCTGAGCCACCCTGGCGCTCCTGCTTTTGCTGATATATTTAAGAATTCATTGCCAAATCTGAAGTCACATAGATTTTCTCCTGTATTTCCTTCTAAAAGTTCTACAGTGTTATGTTTTCTACTTAGGTCTATGATCCATTGTAAGTTGTTTTTGTTTTTTGTCATGAATGGATATTGGATTTTGTCAAGTTCTTTTTCTGCATCAATTGATATGATCATATGATTTTCCTTGTTTAGCCTGTTGATGTGGCCGATTACATTCACTGATTTTTGAATGTCAAACGAGCCTCGTATACCTGGAATAAATCCTACTTGGTCGTGGTATATAATTCTTCTTATACATTGTTGGATTTGATTTGCTCAAATTTTCTTGAGGGTTTTCCATCTATGTTCATGAGAGATATTGGTCTGTAGTTTTCCTTTTATGTGCTGTGTTTACTGAGTATTGGTTTCTGTATGTCTCATGTCTTTTTTGTTCCTCTATTCCTTCCTTACTGCTTTCTTATGCATTAAGTGAATAAATTTCTTTAATGATTTCTAACTATTTTTTTACTTTTTTAATTGTATTTTTAAAGGGCTTTTTTAGTGGTTACCCTAGGGCTTATCATATACATTTTTTAAGTAGAATTGTGGTAAAATAAAATATATGTAACATAAACTTTGTTATTTTAACCATTCTAAGTGTACAATTTAGTGGCATTATCACATTCCCACTGTCGTGC